GAACACTGATTTTTTTGAAGTACCTGAAAAGCAAAGCTATAAGTATATTAAAAACATAGTAAAAGGAAGCTGGAGGGTGTAAGAGAAATAAATGATCAACTATCATAATAAGAAGCCAGTGCTTTCTTTTAAAAAGATAAGGAAAAATAAACAAATAAATCAATAAAGATAAGGAAATAATAATGGAAACATTATTTTAAAATATGGAAGTAATATCTGACAACTTTGCGCTTTATTTTCTTATAACACAGGATCCCTGATAGTGCAGTTGGTTAAGTATTAGGCTACTAATTAAATAGTGGTTCAAACCCACCAGCCACTTTTTGGGACAAAGATGGAGGTAGTTTGTATCCAAAAAGATTTACAACTTCAGGAAATCCAAGAAGCAGTTCTACTCTGTCCTTTGGGGTTCCTGAGTTGGAATCGACTCAATGGCAGTGGGTTTTAGAGTTTCTTATAATGCATTTGATTTATTTGTAGCTTGCTTTTTGCCTTACAAAAGAACTATTAATGGCCCATATGATACTTCTCTCCCACCCCTCCACCTGTATCCATAATTCACAGAGGGCTAAGTACTTAGTATCTTCAAACATTCTTATGAGCAAGTGACCAATTAAAGTAGAATGAGGATGTCTTACTATGGAGTTACAGAATTTTGCACTGGCAATAAATTGAGAGATTATCTAATACAATGTTTCCTAAATAGGTGCTCCATAACCTAGTCTTGTTGTGGTGTTTGGGGCTCAAGACAACTTGGGAAATCCCATGTGAAACAAAATTATCAAGTGTCTTTACTGGACTTTTAGCATACATTGGGAATGAACCACACTAAGGTAATTTACTATGTAGTGTGTCCCATACTCATTTTCTTCCATAAATTGTGAAACTCCTCTAATATCCCGACAATTAATGTTTCTGGGATCATTCTTGGGATAACAATGATTTAGTTTGCCTCCTTCATTTTACAGACAAGAAAGAGAAACCCTTTAGACTATTTGTCCAGTTAAGTATAGTAAAGGAACTAGTGTCTCAAAAAAGAAAAACCTCAGAATTCTGAAGCAATTCTCAGTGGTCAAACAACTCTGACCTGAGATATCTCAGTCTGTTATCATGGTGCCCAAGGCCTTTCAGGCAAAAGTATCGCCTTATACAGATCTTTAAGGTTTTCTGACACCTAAGTAGCCTCGTGTTTTAAGGATCCCTGATGGATAAGCATTGGATTGCTAATCACAAAGTCAGTGGTTCAAACACACAAGGTGATCCTTAGGAGCAAGATGAGACTGTTTGCTCCCATAAAGATTTACTCCTTCTGAAACTCGGTGTCAGAATAGACTCGATGGCAGGGAGGTTTTGTTTTGTTTTAAGGAGCCTTCGAGGCTTTCTCAGCATAGTGCTCTGGTGGTACAATGGTTAAGTGGTCAGCTGCTAACCAAAATCTGGGTTGTTCGAACCCAGCCACTCTAGCCACTCAAGAGAAAGACATGGTAGTCTACTTCTGTAAAGATTTATAGCCTTGGAAATCCTGTGTAGTAGTACTACAGAATTACTGAGTCAGAATTGATACCATGGCAACGGGTAAAAACGCCGAGGAGGTGGGCCCTGGTGGCAAAGTGGGGTACAATTTAGGCTGTTAACTACAAAGACAGCAGTTCAAACCCACCAGCTGCTCCTCATAAGAAAGATGAGGCTTTCTGCTCTTGTAAAGATTGACAGCCTCTAAAATCCAAAGGGTCTGTCCTACTCTGTCCTATTGGGTAGCTATGAGTTGGAAACACCTAGCTCACAGTGGGTTTGGACTTTTGTTGTTGTTGTTTAGGAAGTGGGTCCAAGTCTAGGCTGAAATTCAAGTATAAAGTCCCAGAGCTAAAGCAAAAGAAAGTCACAAACAATGGATGTAGAGTTTGTGTGTCAAAGTGATCTCCAACCAATCAAAGGCTATGAATGAACCACTCATACTGTATAGTTTTCCACTAAATAAAATGCTTTGACAACCCCATTTCATTTACTTCACAAAAGTGAAGTTATTTCCCCCATTTTATGGTAAAGAAAAAATCTCAGTTAAAAGACTTGCCTGAAGTTAATAGTTAATAGCAGAGTTGGAATCAGAACCAAAATTTCCCATTTCTCAGGTTAGGCCTCTTCTCAGTATATTACACAAACTGGGAAAATTTTGACTGAGTACAAATGTAACTGACCCATGAAGCATCCAAACTGCTTCCTATTAGTTATGTTTTGATAATATATGAAATTCCAAGAGTGCTCATGGGTGGTGGCAAAAGCAACTCCAGTTACTGGCATTTTAAGGTCCCTTTTGAATTTAATACAGTAATATCTCCTATAGAGCTGTGTAGTTAGGGAATCTTAGAAAGTTCCCACTGCAGAGGTAGTAGATACACAAGTAAGCCTACAATGATCAGGGAGCACTCTGTGGAGCTGGTGGCATTTGACTAGGATTTGACCTGTCTTGAGAAGATACAGTCAAGGGTGAAGTCAGACAAATTTGGGTTTGAATCCTGCCTCTATCATTTACTCACTCGTGACCTTATGTTTCTATTCTTCATCTATAAAATGAAACTAAGAATACCTATTTTGCAAGGCTGTTGGGAGGCTAAGGTAAAAAGAGTGGTAGTATAGCATAATATTAAGAATGCAGTTCTTGGGTTTAAAAACTCACCCATGTTTCTTGCTATCTCTACAACAGAGGATAAGTCACTTAACTTCCCATAATTTCAGTTTTCCTATACAAGGGGGCTTCAAAAAGTTCATAGAAAAGTTCCATTATCGAGCCCCCAATATTAGGTCATAAAATAATGATTTTAGGAATTACTTATAAAAAGATTTTTCCTCAAGCTGATGGTGCCCAGCTATCAAAAGATATAGCGTCTGGGGTCTTAAAAGCTTGAAGGTAAACAAGCGGCCATCTAGCTCAGAAGCAACAAAG